GTAAAGCGGTTCATACTGATTATTGTTATGATTTAATGTAGCGGTGTATGTGCTTTAGCAGCGCTGGTGACGCGGCGACACTGTGTGTGTGAGGGTCTTCCCCTGTTCACTGGTGATGCTCAGGTGTGTGTGTGTTACTGAGACTCTGCCGCCACTAATAGATCTCCAGAAGGCATCGGTGAAGAGACGAGAACCGCACGTTTCAGTCAGAGCGGCGTCTTTATATGAACCTATCTGAAGGGAACTGACGGTTTTAGAAAAGTTTCGATGTTATCTTTCTTTGTTTCCTCAGAAAGCAGCGTTTATGAGCCGTTACCGTGGAAACCGCCGTTTCTGCCACTACAGCGCCTCCTGCTGGTGCTCTTATAAACACTGCTAACCTGCATTAATGCTAGTGTGGGATTGTTCTACAATATTCACTCATGACAGTAAAATAGGGCATTCTGAGTCAATCTACCGCAGTATTTCCTCTCTCACTCAGTAGAAATGTGGTAAAAGATTGCTTTATTAATAATCTTCCTGATCAGTTTCATCATCTCAGCATCCCGGATAGCTTAGAAGAACTCGATATTGCGACAAACTTTTAACTCTCTCTTTTCCAGCACTTTAGACACAGTTGCTCCGTTGCGCTTAAAGAAGATTAAAGAAAATAGTCCAACGCCGTGGTACAACGAGCACACTCACACACACACACACACACACACACACACACACACACACACACACACACACACACACACACACACCCGGGCCCTTAAGAGAGCAGCCAGAAACATGGAGCGAAACTGGAAGAAAACTAAACTAGAGGTATTTCGCATTTCATGGAAGGAGAGCTCGATTGCTTACAGAGAGGCTTTAAAATCACACTTATCTGACCGTTATCAGTTTGTAGCAGTAAATGAAGAGATGTCTTATCGATCACAAGTTCAGTATGGCGTACCACAAGGCTCAGTACTAGGACCGTTGCTGTTCACTTGTGCTACACACACACACACACACACACACACTCTCTGTACATGCTACCCTTAGGAGATATCATTAGGAAGCATGGCATTAGTTTTCACTGTTATGCTGATGATACTCAGCTCTATATTTATCTTCACGCCCTGACGAAACTTACCAATTCACAAAATTAACGGAATGCATAGCCGATATAAAAAACTGGATGACTAGTAATTTCCTACTGCTTAACTCTGAAAAAACAGAGATTGGACAAAAAAACGTCCTCACGTAATAACCTAGAATACTGACTAACACTTGATGGCTGCTCTGTCAAGTCCTCGTCGTCGGTTAGAAACGTGTGTGTGTGCTCTTTGATACCAATCTTTCATTTGAAAGTCACGTGACTTCTAAATTTAAATTACGCCATATGCTCTCAATAACAAATGCGGAACAGTTAGTTCATGCGTTCATGACATCAAGGCTAGATTACTGTAATGCTCTACTGGGTGGTTGCCCTGCACGCTTAATAAATAAACTACAGCTAGTTCAAAACGCAGCCGCTCGAGTTCTTACCAGAACCAGGAAATATGACCATATTAGCCCGGTTCTGTCAACACTGCATTGGCTCCATATTAAACATCGTATACATTATAAAATATTGCTGATAACTTACAAAGCACTAAATGGTTTAGCTCCCAGTACTTGAGCGAGCTCTTAACGCATTATAGTCCTTCACGTCTATTGCAATCTCAAAACTCCGGCCAGTTGATAATACCTAGAATATCTAAATCGACTGCTGGCGGGAGATCCTTTTCCTATTTAGCACCAAAACTCTGGAACAGTCTTCCTACCATTGTCCGGGAAGCAGACACACTCTGTCAGTTCAAAGCTAGACTAAAAACACATCTCTTTGACCTAGCATACACATAACACACTCTAGACTTCTATAATTCAATGTTAGACTGCATAGATTAGGTCAGCCGGAACTGGGAACACTTCCCTTAAATCCTGATGTACTCGTTACATCATAAGAAGAATGGCATCTACGCTAATATTAGTCTCTCTGTTTATCCCGAGGTTTACCGCAGTCCGCCGGATCCAGGCCGTGTCCAGATCTGATGAAGGACCTTCGCCTGGACACACACACACACACACACACACACACACACACACACACACACACACACACACACACACACACACACACACGCGACGACACCGCAGTCCTGAAGTGTTCTAGTCGCTCCCTGTGAAGGCCTTCTCCTTCTCCTCTGCACAGATAATCGCTGTCGGGATAATGCCGGTTCGCGTGGCTACGCCGAAGCGATACAATTCTGTATTATAAATTTTAAGGCCAGGCGAGTAGTTTGTTGAGGGTTGGTTTTTTTTAGGGAAGGACTACATGCCTGCGCACATATATTCAAACGCGCACACCTATAGAATGAGCTCTTAATGCGCATGTGCGCCATCAGCGTTCTCACAGGCTCGAGTTTCTAAAGTTTGCGTAGAGAGATCTTAAGAGTCTTCTGTTAGAGCGGTGTCGTGTTAGCGGCCCCTAAGTTAATAACTAATGATCGTTGCGATGGAAGTGAATCAATTAAAACTAACTTTAGCTGGAAAATAACTTTATTCTAGAGCTGCTGTAAAGCCAAGACAATCTCGGTTACTGTAATCTCCTGTTATCACTGTAAAGCTGCTTTGGAACAATCTACATTGTTAAAAGCGCTATATAAATGAAGATGACTTGACTTGACCTGGTAAACACCCAGTCATGCTTGAAAAAATAAACTGTGAAACCGGTATAATTTTGAAAAATACCGTGATATAAATGTTTGGCCATACCGCCCAGCACGAGTGTAAGGATTGTGTGTGTGTGAAAGGCTAGTGAAGGCTTTACCTCAGCGGGACAGCCCTCGGGAGACGGCAGGCGGTAGTTCCTCTTCAACAGGTCGATCAGGTGGTAGACGATCATCTGACCCTGTTTGTCCTCGCCCATCTGCTCCATGAACACCTGGAACCGCAACAGCACACGCCACTGTTAGGCTGAGGACCCGGCCGGCACCAGACAGGGCAGCACACGCCACTGTTAGGCTGAGGACCGGGCCGGCACCAGACAGGGCAGCACACGCCACTGTTAGGCTGAGGACCCGGCCGGCACCAGACAGGGCAGCACACGCCACTGTTAGGCTGAGGACCGGGCCGGCACCAGACAGGGCAGCACACGCCACTGTTAGGCTGAGGACCGGGCCGGCACCAGACAGGGCAGCACACGCCACTGTTAGGCTGAGGACCCGGCCGGCACCAGACAGGGCAGCACACGCCACTGTTAGGCTGAGGACCCGGCCGGCACCAGACAGGGCAGCACACGCCACTGTTAGGCTGAGGACCCGGCCGGCACCAGACAGGGCAGCACACGCCACTGTTAGGCTGAGGACCCGGCCGGCACCAGACAGGGCAGCACACGCCACTGTTAGGCTGAGGACCCGGCCGGCACCAGACAGGGCAGCACACGCCACTGTAAGGCTGAGGACCGGGCGGCACCAGACAGGGCAGCACACGCCACTGTTAGGCTGAGGACCGGGCGGCACCAGACAGGGCAGCACACGCCACTGTTAGGCTGAGGACCCGGCCGGCACCAGACAGGGCAGCACACGCCACTGTAAGGCTGAGGACCGGGCGGCACCAGACAGGGCAGCACACGCCACTGTTAGGCTGAGGACCCGGCCGGCACCAGACAGGGCAGCACACGCCACTGTTAGGCTGAGGACCCGGCCGGCACCAGACAGGGCAGCACACGCCACTGTTAGGCTGAGGACCGGGCCGGCACCAGACAGGGCAGCACACGCCACTGTTAGGCTGAGGACCCTAACAATGTGACTTAATGTGACTTGTCAAACTAAAAGTTTTAAGATGTAGAAAAACTAACACTGTGGCAAACAAACACGCTTATTAAAGACTACCATTATCACTAGTAGATGGCAGCAGAGGAGCACTTATTCACTAATAGCCATTTCCACTCCACAACTTACGAAGTCACAAAGTCTCATGAAAAACTCAATCTTTTCTTCGAGTTGTGACTGAATTACCCAGAAAGCAAGTACCGAGCGGTTCTTTCAGTCGCTGAAGCTGTCGGTCAGTTCAGTGAGACACTATAGAAGAACAACGGCACATTTAATAAGACTAGAACATTTAAAATTTCCCTGTAAAAATTAGGTTTTTGCACGTTATTGTTGTTAATAAAAGTTAACATTATCTGCATATCAATTCATGCTTCACTGTTAAATTTCCAATAAACAAACAAGTAATATTATTAGTAATTGTACCGTCTAATGCTAATGTTAGCGATGCACGCTTCTCCACGTCACAGTTTACGATAACGCTGCGGTCGGGTTTAAACCGGACACAAAGCCACTGACACAAATGAATAAATATTGATAGTGTTTTTGAGAATAGGCACTGTACCGCCAAACATAATATCGCAATATTCTCAACATGTATCCATATTCTCTTACACCCCTAGTCACTATTAGGCCGCGTGTCCCTGTCCACCAAGCGTTTTCAGCCAGCGTACTAGCATCAATTTCACAGATAGTTTGTCTCTGTATTGTTTCTATATAAAAATGTTGATACAATGTAAAGTATTTGCTCTGGCCCTTGTTTTAAATGATTTTGTTCCGCTATTAAGCTTGCTGTTGACGTTGGTCGGTGTTGTGTTAGTCCCGCCCCTCCTCCACTGTGATTGGACGGCTGGGTACAGTGACAGTGACGGTATAATCGCGTGTGTTGAGAGGATCACACACAGATCTGCATCGGGTCACTTACGGCTGGAGGACTGCAGCTTTTGTCACTGTATGTGAAGAGTTCATAGAGAACGACTCCGAAACTCCAGACGTCTGACGCCACGCTGAACTTGCTCTCGGTCAGAGACTCCGGGGCGTACCTTCATCACACACATCACATCATCATCATCATCATCATCATCATCATCATCATCATCATCAACACCTCACTAACGCATCACCACAGCATGACGGGGCGCTCACCAGAAGATGGGGCTCTCTCCGGGCTCGCGCACCGTGTAATACTCCTTATCCTGAGGGAGGACTTTAGTCAGGCCGAAGTCTCCGATCTTCACGTGAAACTCGCTCTCCACCAGGATGTTCCTCGTGGCCAGATCTCTGTGGACGTAACGCTTCGACGCCAGGTAGTCCATCCCCTACACACACACACGGACACGCGTCACGTTATTCTTAGTGAGTGAGTGTGTGTGTGTGTGTGTGTGTGAGAGAGAAACCTCACCTTACAGATCTGAGCTGCGTACAGCAGGAGCTTCATGTGGTCGAAACGCTCCTTGTTTTTCGAAAGATAATCTCTCAAACTCCCGAACGGCAGGAACTCCATGACCAGACGCAAGTTCTTACGACCTGCGGAGAGGTTGATTTTAGAAAAAAAATGATTTAACAAAACAATTGAATTGAATCCTCTATACAAACAACTTCAAATGAATAACATATCAAAACTTAATTCTCCTGCAATTACAGTACAGATGATGTTATTATATTTAAACGAGTCTGTCATTCAGTAGTTTATAGTACTTGTGTTCACACAAACTCCAGCTTTTAAGAAAGCTTTAAAAAGAAGTACAACATCGTGACCATGTCTATTCTCCATTCTATTTCTCCTTGTGATGAAACTGCAAGTTTGGCTTGTCCAACAATAAAATTAATTAACTGCCAAAATAAACATTCATTAAACATGAATTTTTCCTGAAATCTTAAAAACTGATCCTTCAATAAAACACAAAGTAATCCCAATCTAACACACCAGAGCCGCACCAGAGCCGCACCAGTGCCGCACCAGAGCCGCACCAGTGCCTCACCAGAGCCGCACCAGTGCCACACCAGAGCCGCACCAGAGCCGCACCAGTGCCACACCAGAGCCACACCAGCGGGAACCAGCACTCGCTGGAAGACTGCCCTCCTCAGTTTTCCTCTAATCCTGCTACCCTCTAGCCTCATTATACACAAAATAATATATATATATATATATATATTTTTTTTTTTTTTGCCACCCCAAGTTAACACACGCTAACTCCATCCACTCACTCCCGCATGCGCACAGAGACAGAAGAGAGAGAGACGTGTGTGTGTGTCGCCTCAGGACCAGCATGCATCAGTCTCTCACCTGCGCTGTAACACACGCCCTTGTATCTGACGATGTTGTCGTGTTGCAGTGATCGCAGGATCTCGATCTCCCGCTCGAAGTCGCGCAGGTGTTCAGCTGAGCTGTGCTGAAGCTTCTTCACTGCCACCACCTCACCTGTGAGGAAGTGGAGGAGGAAGAGTGAGGAGGAGGTGTGAGGAGGAAGAGGAGTGTTGAAAAGGAGGAGGAGGTGTAAGGAAGAGGAGGAGGAAGAGGAGGAGTGAGGAAGAGTAGGTGTGAGGAGGAAGAGGAGTGAGGAAGAGGAGGAGTGAGGAAGAGGAGGTGTGAGGAGGAAGAGTGTTGAAGACGAGGAGGAGGACTGAGGAAGAGGAGGAGGAGGTGGTGTGAGGAGGAGGAGGAGTGAGGAGGAGGAGTGAGGAAGAGGAGGAGGTGTGAGGAAGAAGAGGAGGGGTGAGGAGGAAGAGGAGTGTTGAAGACGAGGAGGAGGAGTGAGGAAGAGGAGGTGTGAGGAGGAAGAGGAGTGAGGAAGAGGAGGAGTGAGGAAGAGGAGGAGGAGGTGTGAGGAGGAGGAGGAGGTGTGAGGAGGAAGAGGAGTGAGGAAGAGGAGGAGTGAGGAAGAGGAGGAGGAGGTGTGAGGAGGAGGAGGTGTGAGGAGGAAGAGGAGTGTTGAAGACGAGGAGGAGGAGTGAGGAAGAGGAGGAGTGAGGAGGAAGAGGAGTGAGGAAGAGGAGGAGTAAGGAAGAGGAGGAGGTGTGAGGAGGAAGAGGAGTGTTGAAGACGAGGAGGAGGAGTGAGGAAGAGGAGGAGTGAGGAAGAGGAGGAGGTGTGAGGAGGAGTGAGGAAGAGGAGGAGGTGTGAGGAGGAAGAGGAGGAGGTGTGAGGAGGAAGAGGAGTGAGGAAGAGGGAGGAGGAGTGAGGAGGAAGAGGAGTGAGGAAGAGGGAGGAGGAGTGAGGAGGAAGAGGAGTGAGGAAGAGGGAGGAGGAGTGAAGAAGAGGAGGAGTGAGGAAGAGCTCTCACCTGTGCTGTCCTGCAGTGGGTCGTAGCGGCACTTCTCCACGCTGCCGAAGTTACCCTGCACACACGCACACACACACACACACGAGTCACAGGGCTGAAGCGGGACAGCTGAGGGGAGTGTAGGGTTGGGAAACGGATACTTGTTATAAAATTAAAATGTCTATTCCTGTGTGTATCTCAGCATGAGTGTAAAGCGCTGGAGCGAGAGACTGTGTTCTGTCCTCGTGTGTGTCAGTGTACTGGACCCGCAGCTCTTAAAGTGACAGCACTCATATTCCTCCGTCTCTATAATAACACTAATATTCCTCCGTCTCTATAACACTAATATTCCTCTATCTCTATAACACTAATATTCCTCCGTCTCTATAATAACACTAATATTCCTCCGTCTCTATAACACTAATATTCCTCTATCTCTATAACACTAATATTCCTCCGTCTCTATAATAACACTAATATTCCTCCGTCTCTATAACACTAATATTCCTCTATCTCTATAACACTAATATTCCTCCGTCTCTATAATAACACTAATATTCCTCCGTCTCTATAATAACACTAATATTCCTCCGTCTCTATAATAACACTAATATTCCTCCATCTCTATAATAACACTAATATTCCTCCGTCTCTATAATAACACTCATATTCCTCCGTCTCTATAATAACACTAATATTCCTCCGTCTCTATAATAACATTAATATTCCTCCGTCTCTATAATAACACTAATATTCCTCCATCTCTATAACACTAATATTCCTCCATCTCTATAATAACACTAATATTCCTCCGTCTCTATAATAACACTAATATTCCTCCGTCTCTATAATAACACTAATATTCCTCCGTCTCTATAATAACACTAATATTCCTCCGTCTCTATAATAACACTAATATTCCTCCGTCTCTATAATAACACTAATATTCCTCCATCTCTATAACACTAATATTCCTCCATCTCTATAATAACACTAATATTCCTCCATCTCTATAATAACACTAATATTCCTCCGTCTCTATAATAACACTAATATTCCTCCGTCTCTATAATAACACTAATATTCCTCCATCTCTATAATAACACTAATATTCCTCCGTCTCTATAATAACACTAATATTCCTCCATCTCTATAATAACACTAATATTCCTCCATCTCTATAACACTAATATTCCTCCGTCTCTATAACACTAATATTCCTCCATCTCTATAATAACACTAATATTCCTCCGTCTCTATAATAACACTAATATTCCTCCATCTCTATAATAACACTAATATTCCTCCGTCTCTATAATAACACTAATATTCCTCCATCTCTATAACACTAATATTCCTCCATCTCTATAATAACACTAATATTCCTCCGTCTCTATAATAACACTAATATTCCTCCATCTCTATAATAACACTAATATTCCTCCGTCTCTATAATAACACTAATATTCCTCCGTCTCTATAACACTAATATTCCTCCATCTCTATAACACTAATATTCCTCCGTCTCTATAATAACACTAATATTCCTCCGTCTCTATAACACTAATATTCCTCCATCTCTATAATAACACTAATATTCCTCCGTCTCTATAATAACACTAATATTCCTCCGTCTCTATAACACTAATATTCCTCCATCTCTATAATAACACTAATATTCCTCCATCTCTATAATAACACTAATATTCCTCCGTCTCTATAATAACACTAATATTCCTCCATCTCTATAACACTAATATTCCTCCGTCTCTATAATAACACTAATATTCCTCCATCTCTATAATAACACTAATATTCCTCCGTCTCTATAACACTAATATTCCTCCGTCTCTATAATAACACTAATATTCCTCCATCTCTATAATAACACTAATATTCCTCCGTCTCTATAATAACACTAATATTCCTCCATCTCTATAATAACACTAATATTCCTCCGTCTCTATAATAACACTAATATTCCTCCGTCTCTATAATAACACTAATATTCCTCCGTCTCTATAACACTAATATTCCTCCGTCTCTATAATAACACTAATATTCCTCCATCTCTATAATAACACTAATATTCCTCCGTCTCTATAATAACACTAATATTCCTCCGTCTCTATAACACTAATATTCCTCCGTCTCTATAATAACACTAATATTCCTCCATCTCTATAATAACACTAATATTCCTCCGTCTCTATAATAACACTAATATTCCTCCATCTCTATAACACTAATATTCCTCCGTCTCTATAATAACACTAATATTCCTCCATCTCTATAATAACACTAATATTCCTCCGTCTCTATAACACTAATATTCCTCCATCTCTATAATAACACTAATATTCCTCCATCTCTATAATAACACTAATATTCCTCCGTCTCTATAATAACACTAATATTCCTCCGTCTCTATAATAACACTAATATTCCTCCGTCTCTATAATAACACTCATATTCCTCCGTCTCTATAATAACACTAATATTCCTCCGTCTCTATAATAACATTAATATTCCTCCGTCTCTATAATAACACTAATATTCCTCCATCTCTATAACACTAATATTCCTCCATCTCTATAATAACACTAATATTCCTCCGTCTCTATAATAACACTAATATTCCTCCGTCTCTATAATAACACTAATATTCCTCCGTCTCTATAATAACACTAATATTCCTCCGTCTCTATAATAACACTAATATTCCTCCGTCTCTATAACACTAATATTCCTCCGTCTCTATAATAACACTAATATTCCTCCGTCTCTATAACACTAATATTCCTCCGTCTCTATAATAACACTAATATTCCTCCGTCTCTATAACACTAATATTCCTCCGTCTCTATAATAACACTAATATTCCTCCGTCTCTATAACACTAATATTCCTCCATCTCTATAATAACACTAATATTCCTCCGTCTCTATAACACTAATATTCCTCCATCTCTATAATAACACTAATATTCCTCCGTCTCTATAATAACACTAATATTCCTCCATCTCTATAATAACACTAATATTCCTCCGTCTCTATAACACTAATATTCCTCCGTCTCTATAATAACACTAATATTCCTCCGTCTCTATAACACTAATATTCCTCCATCTCTATAACACTAATATTCCTCCATCTCTATAACACTAATATTCCTCCATCTCTATAACACTAATATTCCTCCATCTCTATAATAACACTAATATTCCTCCGTCTCTATAACACTAATATTCCTCCGTCTCTATAATAACACTAATATTCCTCCATCTCTATAATAACACTAATATTCCTCCGTCTCTATAACACTAATATTCCTCCGTCTCTATAATAACACTAATATTCCTCCGTCTCTATAATAACACTAATATTCCTCCATCTCTATAATAACACTAATATTCCTCCGTCTCTATAATAACACTAATATTCCTCCGTCTCTATAATAACACTAATATTCCTCCGTCTCTATAATAACACTAATATTCCTCCATCTCTATAACACTAATATTCCTCCATCTCTATAACACTAATATTCCTCCATCTCTATAACACTAATATTCCTCCGTCTCTATAATAACACTAATATTCCTCCGTCTCTATAATAACACTAATATTCCTCCGTCTCTATAATAACACTAATATTCCTCCGTCTCTATAATAACACTAATATTCCTCCGTCTCTATAATAACACTAATATTCCTCCGTCTCTATAATAACACTAATATTCCTCCATCTCTATAATAACACTAATATTCCTCCGTCTCTATAATAACACTAATATTCCTCCGTCTCTATAATAACACTAATATTCCTCCGTCTCTATAATAACACTAATATTCCTCCGTCTCTATAATAACACTAATATTCCTCCGTCTCTATAACACTAATATTCCTCCATCTCTATAATAACACTAATATTCCTCCATCTCTATAAACACTAATATTCCTCCGTCTCTATAACACTAATATTCCTCCATCTCTATAATAACACTAATATTCCTCCGTCTCTATAATAACACTAATATTCCTCCGTCTCTATAATAACACTAATATTCCTCCATCTCTATAATAACACTAATATTCCTCCATCTCTATAATAACACTATTCGCACAACAGGAGACTGAGATCACACACTCGCTCTTCACTGAATAACTGTAACTATATCTGTAATGTATATTTTATTGATAAACTGCAGTGTTATTCTACATTTATTACAGTTTCTGAACCTGAAAATCTTAAAACACTGTTTATTTCAGTCTCATCTTTGTTCAGTTGTGTCTATTTGTTGCGATTGCTAATTTTTTATTTGTTCTTTTTTAATCACTGAGTGTTTTATTTAATAATAATAGTGTATATTAGTTGGGCTAGTTGTTCTTCTCTGGTGTGTTTAACCCTCAGGCAAACGCTCCTGTGTAAGTGTTCTTCAGCTGATGATTTCTGCTCATGATATTCAGTTACAGTTCTGCAATAACACTAAATGTGAATGATATCTAAGGGTTTTTACCTTATTGGAATCGAAATTAGGAATCGATAAGAATCGTAATCGTTAAAACTCAAACAATACCCAACCCTAGTCATGATGATGATGATGATGATGTCACCTTGCCCAGCAGCTGGAGGAAGATCAGGTGTCTGGCCTCAAACTGAGTGGGTTCCTGATTCTCAAAGGCTCCAGCGAAACCCAACGGCCGGTTCCTGCTGGGAAGCGTCTCGCTCTCCACCAGCAGCTCGTAGTCTGAGGAGCACAGGAACGCAGGAGTCAGCGTTGCGCTAGCTAACGTCTGGTGCGCGCGCGTGTGATTAGCTCACCTGGCGTGAAGAGGCTGTTGAGGTCTCGGATCACGGCTCTGAACGAGGGCCGGTGCAGCGGCTCGTAGTCCATGCAGCTGTTGATCACGCTAGCCAGTTCGGTCCACTTCGGAGCCGGGAGCTGGTGCTTATCCTCGTAGAACAGCAGCTTCTGTGGGACAGAGACCGTTAGCTGCAGCCAATCACCCGCGCAGGACAGAGAGCGTTAGCTGTAGCCAATCACGCGCGCAGGACAGAGACCGTTAGCTGCAGCCAATCACGCGCGCAGGACAGAGATCGTTAGCTGCAGCCAATCACCCGCGCAGGACAGAGGCCGTTAGCTGCAGCCAATCACCCGCGCAGGACAGAGACCGTTAGCTGCAGCCAATCACCCGCGCAGGACAGAGAGCGTTAGCTGTAGCCAATCACGCGCGCAGGACAGAGACCGTTAGCTGCAGCCAATCACGCGCGCAGGACAGAGATCGTTAGCTGCAGCCAATCACCCGCGCAGGACAGAGGCCGTTAGCTGCAGCCAATCACCCGCGCAGGACAGAGACCGTTAGCTGCAGCCAATCACGCGCGCAGGACAGAGATCGTTAGCTGCAGCCAATCACGCGCGCAGGACAGAGACCGTTAGCTGCAGCCAATCACGCGCGCAGGACAGAGACCGTTAGCTGCAGCCAATCACCCGCGCAGGACAGAGACCGTTAGCTGCAGCCAATCACCCGCGCAGGACAGAGGCCGTTAGCTGCAGCCAATCACCCGCGCAGGACAGAGACCGTTAGCTGCAGCCAATCACCCGCGCAGGACAGAGACCGTTAGCTGCAGCCAATCACCCGCGCAGGACAGAGATCGTTAGCTGCAGCCAATCACCCGCGCAGGACAGAGACCGTTAGCTGCAGCCAATCACCCGCGCAGGACAGAGACCGTTAGCTGCAGCCAATCACCCGCGCAGGACAGAGGCCGTTAGCTGCAGCCAATCACGCGCGCAGGACAGAGACCGTTAGCTGCAGCCAATCACCCGCGCAGGACAGAGACCGTTAGCTGCAGCCAATCACCCGCGCAGAACAGAGACCGTTAGCTGTAGCCAATCACCGGCGCAGGACAGAGAGCGTTAGCTGCAGCCAATCACCCGCGCAGGACAGACCGTTTGCTGCAGTCAATCGCGCGCAGCACAGAGAGAGATCATTAGCTGCAGTCAATCGCGCACAGCACAGAGAGAGATCATTAGCTGCAGTCAATCGCGCGCAGCACAGAGAGAGATCATTAGCTGCAGTCAATCGCGCGCAGCACAGAGAGAGATCATTAGCTGCAGTCAATCGCGCGCAGCACAGAGAGAGATCATTAGCTGCAGTCAATCGCGCGCAGCACAGAGAGAGATCATTAGCTGCAGTCAATCGCACGCAGCACAGAGAGAGATCATTAGCTGCAGTCAATCGCGCGCAGCACAGAGAGAGATCATTAGCTGCAGTCAATCGCGCGCAGCACAGAGAGAGATCATTAGCTGTAGTCAATCACGCGCAGCACAGATGTTAGCTACAGCCAATCACGCGCGCAGGACAGAGACCGTTAGCTGCAGCCAATCACCCGCGCAGGACAGAGATCGTTAGCTGCAGTCAATCACCCGCACAGGACAGAGATCGTTAGCTGCAGCCAATCACCCGCGCAGGACAGAGATCGTTAGCTGCAGCCAATCACCCGCGCAGGACAGAGAGCGTTAGCTGCAGTCAATCACCCGCGCAGGACAGAGATCGTTAGCTGCAGCCAATCACCCGCGCAGGACAGAGATCGTTAGCTGCAGCCAATCACCCGCGCAGGACAGAGAGCGTTAGCTGCAGTCAATCACCCGCGCAGGACAGAGACCGTTAGCTGTAGCCAATCACCCGCGCAGGACAGAGATCGTTAGCTGCAGCCAATCACCCGCGCAGGACAGAGACCGTTAGCTGCAGCCAATCACCCGCGCAGGACAGAGATCGTTAGCTGCAGCCAATCACCCGCGCAGGACAGAGATCGTTAGCTGCAGCCAATCACCCGCGCAGGACAGAGATCGTTAGCTGCAGCCAATCACCCGTGCAGGACAGAGATCGTTAGCTGCAGCCAATCACGCTCGCAGGACAGAGATCGTTAGCTGCAGCCAATCACCCGCGCAGGACAGAGACCGTTAGCTGCAGCCAATCACCCGCGCAGGACAGAGATCGTTAGCTGCAGCCAATCACCCGCGCAGGACAGAGATCGTTAGCTGCAGCCAATCACCCGCGCAGGACAGAGATCGTTAGCTGCAGCCAATCACCCGCGCAGGACAGAGACCGTTAGCTGCAGCCAATCACCCGCGCAGGACAGAGATCGTTAGCTGCAGCCAATCACCCGCGCAGGACAGAGATCGTTAGCTGCAGCCAATCACGCGCGCAGGACAGAGATCGTTAGCTGCAGCCAATCACCCGTGCAGGACAGAGATCGTTAGCTGCAGCCAATCACGCTCGCAGGACAGAGATCGTTAGCTGCAGCCAATCACGCGCGCAGGACAGAGACCGTTAGCTGCAGCCAATCACCCGCGCAGGACAGAGGCCGTTAGCTGCAGCCAATCACCCGTGCAGGACAGAGCCCGTTAGCTGCAGCCAATCATGCGCGCAGGACAGAGACCGTTAGCTGCAGCCAATCACCCGCGCAGGACAGAGAGCGTTAGCTGCAGCCAATCACCCGCGCAGGACAGAGAGAGATCATTAGCTGCAGTCAATCGCGCGCAGCACAGAGAGAGATCATTAGCTGCAGTCAATTGCGCGCAGCACAGATGTTAGCTACCGTCAATCGCGCGCAGCACAGAGAGAGATCATTAGCTTCAGCCAATCACCCGCAGCACAGAGAGAGATCATTAGCTTCAGCCAATCACCCGCAGCACAGAGAGAGATCATTAGCTGCATTCAATCACGCGCAGCACAGATGTTAGCTACCGTCAATTGCGCGCAGCACAGAGAGAGATCATTAGCTGCAGTCAATCACGCGCAGCACAGATGTTAGCTACCGTCAATCGCGCGCAGCACAGAGAGAGATCATTAGCTGCATTCAATCACCCGCAGCACAGAGAGAGATCATTAG